GGTGGCGCAGCGATGGAGGAGGAACCAGTACCATCCCAACAAAGAGGAGCTGTATAATCAAGACGTTTCATACAGCTTAATTACACAGGAACTCAGCAAAGGCGCCCGTCTCAGTGCAACACAGCAGGCCTACACGCTAAAAAGACGCTTCTTCAAGGGTTCTTTAGTGAAGGCAACGGTTCTGTTTAGAACCATGAACACAAAGAACCCTTTGCATGATTAAAGAGTTCTTCAAATCATGAAAGGGTACTTCTTGATGGAAACTACTGCACTGCACAGTAGTGGATTAATCTTTAGTGCTATATAGAACCATATTCAAAAAGGTTCTATACGGTACCCTATATGGCTCACTCTCCATTAATCTGAAGAATGATTTGACCATGCAAAGAACCATTTTAGCATTCAAATGGTTCTACACTCTTAAAAGAAAGATGGATTTGCCAGGGTTCTTTAGTAAGGGCAAAAGTTCTATGGTTCTATATAGCATATATTGTAACTATAGCAGAACCCTTTTTGGTGCTTTATAGAACTATTTTCAAAAAGGTGTTTATAACTCATTCTCCATCAATCTGAAGAGCCATTAAGCATGAAAATGGTTCTACACACTACCAAAAAAGATGAATCTTCAAGGGTTTTTTTTAGTAAAAGCAACGGTTCTGCTTAGAACCATGAGTTCAATGGTTCTATTCAACAACAAAAATAGTACATCGTAACAATAGCAGAATCCTTATGGGTGCTATATAGAACCATTTTCAAAAAGTTCTATACAGAACCATATAGAACACATTCTCCGTCAACCTGAAGAACCATTTCACCATGCAAATGGTTCTACACTCCCCAAGGGTTAATTAGTAAAGGCAATGGTTCTATTTAGAAGCATAAGTTCTATGGTTCTGTATAGCACCAAAAATGGTTCTTCTATTGTTACAAGCTTGACGTCGTACCAATAGCAGGACGCTTTTTGGTGCTATATAGAACCATTATCAAAAGGTTCTATACAACACATTCTCCATCAATCTGAAGAACCATTTGACCATACAAAAAACCATTTCACCATGCAAATGGTTCTGCACTCTTAAAAAAGGTGGTTCTTCAAGGGTTTTTTAGTAAAGGCAATGGTTCTATTCAGAACCATGAGTTCTATGGTTCTGTATAGCACCAAAAGTGGTTCTTCTGCTGTTACAAGCTTGACATCGTACCAATAGCAGGAAGCTTTTTGGTGCTATATAGAACCACACATTCTCCATCAATCTGAAGAACTATTTGACCATACAGAGAACCACGTAAGCATGCAAATGGTTCTGCACTCTTAAAAAAGGTGGTTCTTCAAAGGTTCTTTAGGAAAGACAATGGTTCTAATAATTTTAAAAAATTGCAGCTCCTGCGATTTGAAAACTGCACTCTCTTAAACTACAATAGCGCCGGCTTTGCCGCTCACCCCACTGAGTGCATGGGAGCAGTTCAGGCGTTCGGTGGGGCTCTAATAATCACAGTAACTGTTCACAGATGTAGAAGCCTGATTGAACACAGAGCTGAGAGGAAGGCGAGCACAGCTGTGAAGATGAGGAGGAGGCAGTGCGGTAAGAGACGGCTGGAGGGAGAAGTCACAGCACAAAAGTTCAAGGCTTATCTGTCTTCATCATCGGTATCAGGCTGAGAGCTGCTTATCTGCACTGACCCTCCAGCACAGGACCGTCTAGTGTCTTCTTAGGTCCTGAAGGGCCTCATTAGTGGCTGAAGGTTTGATATCAACATAGTAGAGAAGTGAAAACACTCAAACTGGGCTGTACAGGAAGATCCCCAACACTCAAACTGCTGCACAGCATCGCTCAGATCCTGCAACAGTACTGCGGTTACAGCGCCCTGCGACAGGAGACAATCTGTTTCCTCGTCACGAACGTTTGGGAGCCTTTATGAAACAAAACAGGTTCATACTGACATAAATTAAAATAGTTTATTCATATAAACTCGTATAAAATCACATGTTCCATAAGCTTACTGCACCTATTCAAAACAATTCTGGGAGCAATTCTGTGTTGGAGTTACAAACATATTATACACTCTGATAACATAAAAAGGAGGTTCTGTAGTCATGGCAATGGTTCTGTATAGAACGACGTACACTCAAAGAACACTTTGCATGCTTAAGTGGTTCTTTGCATGGTGAAATGGTTCTTCAGATTGATGGAGAATGTGTTGTATATGTTTTACATCATAACAATAGCAGAACCCTATTTGGTGCTATATAGAACCATATGCAGTACATTCTCCATCAATCTGAAGAACCACTTCACCAAGCAGAGAACCATTTAGGTAAGCGAATGGTTGATTGAGTGTTCATGGTTCTGTATAGGACCATTGGGCCTCATTCATCAACCGTTCTTAAGAAGAAATCTCTTCTTAAACCCACTTACACAGTTCTGACGAAGACTCTGACTCACCGATGTTCTCTTATGTGGGGTTTGTTCTCAGGTAAGAACAGAATCTACACACACTCAAGAGCACAAAGGTGAGAACAGTTCTGCGCTTTAAGAACACGTCATGAACCTGACGTAGAGTTTTTCTTAAGAGCTTTATCAAGAACACACTTAAGAACAGACTTAGGAGGATATTGGAGAATCTCAAATAAAAAGAGCATCACTTCATTAACAGCTACCAGCGCTGCTCTGTAGGCGACCCTGCCAGTCTGCAGTGACAGCAGAGGAGGGTGAAGTTCAGCTCCTCACTGCTGGGCTTTAGTTACATTTAGGGCATCATATGACTTCAAAGAGGGGGGCAATTATTTATTATCACCCACCCCTAATTCTTCAGTGATATGAAGCTGAAGTCAGATATTCACCAGATTCTCATTCTAATTCTCCCGTTCCACCTTAAATGGGGCAGAAGTTACATTCTGGCGCTTCAGGTGTCAGAACTGCTGGACTATTTAAGGTGGAACGGGAAAGTTAGCTAGCTACCGAAACACTAGCAAACTATTAACAAGTTTTTATGACCATAATACACTGAAACAACATTAAACTAAGATAATATGATGGTTATCGTAATTTTTACCAGAGTAAATTCTCACATTTGTGGGTTTCTTTGGTTTCTTCTTCTCCGTCTCGCCAGTTTTTCTTTTTTTCTCATAACTCTCTGTTTGGAGTCATGTAGCCTCAACACTTCACCCTCCCCCTCTATCTCAACAAGGATCAGGACACCCTACCCCTAGACATGAACACGCAAAACGGAGGGGTAGGGCTAAGTGGTGGGGGCGAGGGGTGAAATGGGACTGGGACCCTAGCACTGTGCAGAACTCAGGATGCTGGTAAAGCAGGATGTTATAGCACCGCTCTTGACTTTAGGGTTGAATTAAATCCTAAAATTCTGTATTTATTGTAGGTTTTTCTGTATCTAAATTCCGTAACTAACTTCAGAAAATCAGCAGAGGATCTGTATGAATATGAATATGAGAACGCTGTCCAGAAATGGCTCATTATTTCATGAGAAGCCGGTCAGTGCGTCATCAGTGTGAGGGGCAGGAGGCTACATGGCAGCTGCTCTCTGTGTCACTGTGTACAGCTCGGTGAATTATTGAGCAAACCGCTTGAACCTTGGCCCACAGCAAGATGGAGATGTGTGGCACATCATTGATTTAGATAAACTGGGCTAAATTCCATCTGACCTGAAACGTGGCGGCTGAAACTGCAGTTAACTTGTGTAAACTAGAGCCGTGACTGTTACCAGGTATTGGTATTGAGCTCACATCAGGAAAAAACCCTGGATCGTTTATTGGAGGGTAAAGAAGTATGAATCAGATCTTCTCCTGCAATCTAGCCTGAAATAGCACACACTCAGTGTGTCATGTGATGTTGTTAGCAGTGTATTTCATCCTTTAGGGAAGTGAAGTGTCTGAGAAGTTTGCATGATAGTCTACTTTTAGTTGCTGATCTTAAATAAAGTGTTATAAAAATAATGTTAGCTCAGATATCGAGTCAGTATCAGTATCAGCCGTATTACATATTTACAGGCAGCTCTATGAAAACTGTATGTAGGAATTTTGATAGCCTAAATCAGCCTAAATCAGAAAATATTACCAGCACTGAAAGTGTGTGTAGGATTCTCTGTTGGCCTAAATCACAAATTAAAACCCCAAAATTATTATAGCTTTAACTTAAAAAGTAAGTAACCAGGTTAACTTTAAATTCTGAGTCCACTGAACTTAACATTGAGTTAAAAGAAGAATAATTTGTGTTTTAAATCTGTTAACTTATTATTCAAAGTTTAACTGAATAAACAGAAAAAGAGAAATTGAGAGTGAAATTGAAAAGAATGAGAGAAAAAAGAAGAGAAGAGAAGAGAAAACGAGAAAACAAGAGAAGAAAAAAGAAGAGAAGAGAAGAGAAGATGAGAAAAGAAAAGGAGAAAAGAAGAAACGAGAAATGAACAGAAGAAAAGAGAAGAGGACAAAACAAAACAATAGAAGAGAAAAAAGAGAAGAGAAGAGAGGACAAGAGAAGAAGGGAAGACAACGGAAGAGAAGACAACAGAAGAAAAGAGAACAGAAGAGAAGAAGAAAAGACAACAGAAGAGAAGAGAAGACAAAGGAAGAAAAGAGAAGAGAAGAAATGAGAAGAGAAGAGGACAGAAAAGAAAAGAAGAGGAGAAGAGAAGAGAAATGACAGAAGAGAAGAGAAAAGAAGAGAAGAAATGTGAAGGTGAAGAGAAGACGAGAAGAGAAGAGAAGACGAAGAGAAGAGAAGACGACAGAAGAGAAGACAACAGAAGAGAAGAGAAGAGAAGACGAGAGAAGAGAAGAGAGGAGAAGAGAAGACGACAGAAGACAAGAGAAAAGAAGAGAAGAGATGAGAAGAGAAGAGCAGAGAAGAGAAGAGAAGAGCAGAGAAGAGAAGAGAAGAGAAGACGCTTTACTAATGAGTAGCCCAATCAGAACCCCGGTTTCAGTATCGATGGTATCGTATCGTGCCACCTGTAATGCTGGCAGTTAGTTTGCGGGCACTGACCTTCTAGAAGAGCGGACTTGGACAGGTCTCTCCGGTCTTCGGGGAAACACTCCAGCAGTCTTTTGAAGAGCCGCCCGAGGTCCGAGTAGCTGCGGTGTAAGTACAGCACGTTCCTGTCGGACCACTCGGTCCGGAGCTCGAAGAACTCCTCCTCCTCTCCCGTCCCGCTGATGATGAGTCTGCGGACGCCGTTCACCCAGCAGTCCTTCACGAACATGTTCACCAGAGAGGTGCCCTCAAACACCGCCGAGGCCATCCCGGGCTCGGTCAGTCCAGCATCGCGTCCAGACACACTCCAACTGCCCTTACGGAGTCAGAACAGCCCGCGGCGGCGGAGGAGAGCGGACGAAACCGAGCCGAACCCAGCGAGGCTGGATCCTGACAGCTCAGCTAAACGGCCTCCTAAACCAGGCGGTGGGAGTCAAAGCCTCGCCCGAAACTCGGGACTCCTCATCATCCGCCCAAAGACACTTAAATCCGCGGGCTGTTGTGCAGAACTGTCCAGAAAAGTTCGCCCCCTGGCTGAGGGTCCGGTCCGGTCCAGTTTAAAGTGGAGGAACAGGCGGTGTTTCGGCTGACCAGCTTTAAAAACAGTCTCCGGTCTTCTGTCCTCTCTATAAACTCTTCTCTCTCTCTTTCCTCCTCTCGCTTCTTCTCTCTCCCTCCCCGAGAAGTTATTTTTTTACCCACCCATATTCGGTCAGGCCCCGCCCCCTACGCTGCGATTGGCTAGCACACTGTACACTACAAAAAAGTCTCTTGTCAAGCAAAATGAGCTCAATTCTAGTATATCTGTATCTACTGTTTCTAATTTTGAGATTATTTTAAGATTATTTAACTTATTTCTGGACATTCTTACCTGTTTTACCTGTTTTAAGTGGTTTAATTAAGTAAAATTGTCTCATTATACTGGCAGATAATTTAGCCTGTTTCAAGCACAAAGTGAGATAATTTTACTTAATAAAATTACTTAAAACAGGTAAAAGTGTTGAAAATAAGTTAAATAATCCTATAATAAGTTTGCAACAACCTCAAAATGAGAAATATTAGATGTATCGACTAGATTTAAGATACGTTTACTTGACAAGATACCACTTTTTGCAGTTTACAAAAAGTTGTTTTAACTTTAAAAAGTTAGTATAAACTTTTAAGACTGCCTTAAAATTTGAAGTTGAACTTCTGATTTGTAAATTAATGAAAGAAGAATCTGTTTTAGGATCAACTTATTAAGTTCAAATAACTCAAATGTTATTTTGTTAAGTTAGAACCCCATTTTATTACCGTTCGGTTCTCACTCACAAGCAGCCCAGCAAAACAATTATGGGTGAGAAATTAAACGAACAATTAATTAATTAATCAATCACAACACTTCAAATAAATATCAGTAAATAACGCTTTCTGTACACTCTTAAAAAAGATGGTTCTACCAGGGTTCTTCAGTACAGAGAGTCATTCTGTATAGAACCGTGAACACTCAAAGAACCCTTTGCTTGCTTAAATGGTTCTCTGCATGATGAAATGGTTCTTCAGATTGATGGAGAGTGTGTAGCACAGAGGGTTCTGCTGTTGTATACAAGCTTGACACTGTAACATTAGCAGAACCCTTTTCAAAAAGGTTCTATATAGAACCACCTACAGCATTTTCGCCTTCAATCTAAATTTAACAATGCAAACAGCCTTTTAATCATGCAAAGTGTTCATGGTTCTATATAGAACCATATTCTTTACTACAGAACCCTTGAAGAACCTCATTTTTAAGAGTGTAATTGATGCTTTATTAATGATGGCTGACTGGGCTCATGCTTCATTCATAATGGCACGAGCCGCCCCTTAGCTCCGCCCCTGCCGTATGGACAGCTTGTCAGTGTGATCTAACCACCTGTATTCGACCAAGCCCCGCCCCCTGCACTATGATTGGCTAGTAGTTCACACTCGCAATCAGCCCAACGCGACCCGTTTGTCCGAATACAGGTGAGAAATGAAATGACAAATGAACAATTAGCCACGCCCCAAACAGACACACAAATAAGTAAATAAGAATCAGCGCTTCGGTGGGCCGCACGGAGCGCTGGTCTGGGTGGTCTAAACTAGCAGCCAATCGGAGCTGAGGAGGCGGGCGGCTGTAGCCAATCGGAGCGCGGTTTGTCGGAAAGCGGGTGGATGGTCGCGAGCCCCGCCCCCTGTACCGCTATGTGAGGAATCTGTGGAGGAGCTTTAAACTCGCACTGACTCACATCCGCTACAGCCGCGACACACTGAACACCAGACAGACAGACAGACGAACAGACAGACAGAAAAACAGACGAACAGACAGACAGACAGACGGACAGACGACAGACAGACGTTCTCTATTACACTACATAGTAACTACAGCAGCCAGTGAGTCCAAATCACTATCCAGGAGTGAAAACATAAAACTGAGGGATGTTTTTCAGTTTTTTTTTCTGAATGACCCCCTCTAAAGTGAAAGTGAAAATGAACAATATTAATAATAATGACAATAATAATAATTATTATTATTATTGTTGTTGTTGATGGAGAATGTATTGTAGACCATGTTTCTTTAGTTTGTTTTTAAAAAGATTTTAGAACAATTACTTCAATTCAATTGAAGAGAAGAGAAAAGAGAAGAGAAGAAATGAGAAAAGTAGAAAAGAGAAGAGAAGACAAAAGTAGAGAAGAGAACAAAGAAGAAAAGAAGAGAAGAGAAGAGAAGAGAAGGGAAAAGTAGAGAAGAGAACAAACAAGAAAAGAAGAGAAGAGAAGAGAAGGGAAAAGTAGAGAACAGAAGAGAACAGAAGAGAAGAGAAGAAACAAAAAGAGAAGAAACGAGAAGAGAAAAGTAGAGAAGAGAACAGAAGAGAAGAGAAAAGTAGAGAAGAGAACAGAAGAGAAGAGAACAGAAAAGTAGAGAACAGAAGAGAAGAGAAGAGAAGAGAAAAGTAGAGAAGTGAAGAGAAGAGAAGAGAAGAGAAGAGAAGAGAAGAGAGGAGAAGAGAAGAGAGGAGAAGAGGAGTACTTGTCCCCTGTTATAGCCCGTGTGTTATTAAATGTTAAGGCAGTATCTGTGGCGGCGCGCTGTATGATCTCCAGTCTGGAAGAACGTCTCTGCTTTACCCACCTCATATTACAGACCTATAAATCAGAAATCTGCCTAAAAAGTCTCTGAACACTGAGACACCTACGTTTTTCAAAGTACACATACCAAAAAGAGTTCTTGGGAGTAGGAAAACACTTTGGTTCCCTAAAGAACCTTTCAACTCACAGTTCTTTAGAGAAGGATTTTTGTAGATGAGGTTAATCCTTGAGTCTCAAGAACCATGAAAAGTTCAAAACATACCAATTAAAGTGTTTTTTTGGTTGTGATAGAACCATATGTCCAAGCCAAGAACCCTCCTCAGAGTGAACTGTTCTAGGACAAAAACATTTAATTAGTATAGAAGCATTAAATTATGTGGAAGTTCTTTAACTCTTAGAACCCAACAATAATGTGGTGTAATTGTTTTGGTTATTATAAAGTATTTACATGAGAGCCACACGTGTCATTATTTGACTGAATTTTGATGTCTTTATGAATTGAACAAATGAAAAATTTACTTACCTCAATTTTGTACATTTTTGCTTATACAAGTCATGAAAACAAGTGTCAGCTGAGGCACCTTTTCAGAAATGGTAGTCTGGAGTGTCTGTGAGCTGAAAATGCTAGACTTTTAATGGTGATTCATTCTACTGCTTATTTCTGACTCAATATAAATGATGATCATAAGGCAGTTATGTTTTTTAATGATTTTCAATCCTCTTGGATTCTTGCTGAGTGCTAAAACTCTGATACACAGCAAACCAGGCTTTATTTTTTATTTCTAATTAAGTTGCACGTTTACTATCATCACTGTCCTGAAGTCTGAACATCAGATCATCACTTTAATAACCCTTTGTTTATAATATGAAGGCCAAAAGCTGAGAGCTAATACCCAGTAGTGAGTGGGCTTTGGGTGATTTTGGAGCTGGACTGCTGGCTGATGCTCAGTTAGAGCTGGACTTTCTCGCTCGGGACTGTGAGGCAGAGTCTGCGGAGTGATCTGATGTGTGAATCATGTCGCTGTTTTAACCCTTTGTTGTAATATGAAGGCTAAAAGCAGAGCATTAATATCAGGTTTTTGGGTGCTTTTTGATTACTCACTGATGCAGACATCACAGCTCGATGATGTCACTCCGGCTAGTGAGGGACGGGTCCTCTGGGTGTTCTGATATGGGAATCATGTCTGATGCTTAAACCCTTAAAATCCCAGTCTTATTACACACTAAGGCTTATTATGCAGTAACAACAGGGACCTCAGTGCAAACTGGCTGGGCTATTCTTAGCTTATAGAAGTGTGTAATAAAACTCTGGGCCTGCTGGTGGACCCTGTATAAACGACTGAGGCACTGAAAATATTTCAATCTCAATATAATAAGTAAACCAGAGCCTAATTAAGATGTTGGCGTAGATTAATTGGGCCGGCATAGACGAAACAGTGGCTATAAAGTAAGACAGACAACCTTAGAAGAACTTCTCTGTTCTGAAGATTCCTTTGAATGCAGCAAAGGGCCTGGTCAACAAGACCTTGAGCTGTCATTACTGGTCAAACGCAGTTGGACAGTCACTGTCAGACGACCTTATTACACACTGTCATAGTTCACACTGACCGGCGAGAGGCCGAGGCGCATACTTACAGAATGCTGTCATTCACAAGGGGGCTTAGACAGCCCACCACAGTGCTGGAGGTTGTGGGTGTGACCGCCAGTCCCCCCTCATGAACTCATAACCTGCTGCTTCACACTCATATTGGACATCTACTCAGCCGTGATCTCATACCTAGTGTCCTTCACTGCTGCTCAGAAGTCTGGAATCACTGTTTTCCACATTATAAAAGCACTTAGGATGCAGAAAATGATATTAATATGATGCTAGTATTACAGAAGTTCATACTGTAGGTCTCATGTAGTAAACAGGAAATTGTACATTTGTGTTTAAAAAAATATAATATATAAACAGAAAAAACAGATACCTTTTAAATTATCACTTAAGAACTTCTCTGAAGTTCCCCAAATTTTTAAACATTAAATAAAACAGCTGAATTACCTTCTGATGTCTAGATAATAATAATACACTCACCAAGCACTTTATTAGGAACACCTCCTTGTTTCTACACTCATTGTCCATCTTATCAGCTCTACTGACCACATAGTTTCACTCTGTAGTTCTACAGTTACAGACTGTAGTCCATCTGTTTCTCTGCATACTTTGTTACCCTGTTCTTCAGTGGTCAGGACCCCCACAGGACCCTCACAGAGCAGGTACTATGTGGGTGGTGGGTCATTCTCAGCACTGCAGTAACACTGATGTGGTGGTGGTGTGTTGGTGTGTGTTGCGCTGGTCTGAGTGGATCAGACACAGCAGTGCTGCTGGAGTTTTTAAACACTTTGTCCACTCACTGTCCACTCTATTAGACACTCCTACCTTGTCAGTCCACCTTGTAGATGTAAAGTCAGAGACGATAGCTCATCTGCTGCTGCACAGTTTGTGTTGGTCATCCTCTAGTCCTGCATCAGTGGTCACAGGACGCTGCCCACAGGACGCTGTTGGTTGGATGTTTTTGGTTCTCAGTCCAGCAGTG